GACACGGACAAACCAGGTAGACTCAGGCTTCCTATGGCTCTAAACAGACTGCCAATCAGCTGAATCCAGGAATGGGTTAGGGTGATCGATTTACTCCTCTGCTCCCCTGTACAGAAACACTAAATGTCTCTAAATGTCTCTAATCTCTGGAGGAAGATAACTCTATTCAAAAATCTCACCAATCACAAGTTTTGAAGGCATAAAACAAAACTAGAGCAAGGGCAATAAAACTAACAATAGAACTGACAGATGACAGAAGTGAGAAATTGGAGTTATGCGATAGGAACACTCAATGCATGTTTGTTTATTTTTTAATGTGTATGGATGTTTTGCCTGCGTGTATGTAAGTGCACTCATGTCATACAATGTCTGCAGAGACCAGAAGAGGAGGTCAGATTCCTTGGAACTGAAATTACAGTTGTTAGCTATCATGTAGATGCTGGGATTTGAACCCAGGTCTTCTGCAAGAACAGCCAGTAACCACTGAGTCATCTCTCCAGCCCTCAATGCATGGCTTAAATGTCCAAGAAAATAAGTGTTCAAAGTGCAGTGGCACATGCCTGTAATCCTATCTCTTGGGAGGTAGAGGCAGGAGGATCAGGAGTTCAAGCCAGACTCAGCTACAAAGTGAGTCTGAGGCATGCTTAGGTGCCACATGAGACTCTGACTGAAAGAGAGAGAGAGAGAGAGAGAGAGAGAGAGAGAGAGAGAGAGAGAGAGAGAGAGAAACAAGGTGGAAATGTACACCAAAGATTAGGAATCTATTTTAAAAATCAAATGGAAGCCAGGCATGGTGGCACACACCTTTGATCCCAGTACTCGGGAGGCAGAGGCAGGTGGATCTCTGTGAGTTCAAGGCCAGCCTGGTCTACATAGTGAGTTCCAGGACAGCTGGGGCTACAGGGAGACCCTGTCTCAAAAAGAGAGAGAGGACTGAGGATGCAGGATTTGTCTAGCATATGTGAGACCCTAGTTTAAATCCACAGTACCTGAGACAGTGAGATGCTGAGAAAATGCTGTTTTGATGTTTTCTACTTGAAGGCAAGCTTGAACAAAGAAATATGCTTGACTTTTTTCCCCAATTAGATGCTGTGCAATATCAGCAGAAAACTAACAGAGTGATGGGAAGGAAGTTCTCAACTGATGGAGGACTCCACAGAGAACAGATGGCCTGTTTTGATCATGGCAGGCCATCAGAAGGTAGGGCTTCCTCAAGCTCTGTAGCTTCCTCCACATTCTAATTCTATGACTGTGACTCGGGCCCTGGCAGTCCAACTCATTCTTACAGCACTGCATTGATGCCCCAGCCACTTGAGAGCTGAGCTTTGACTTCTCAAGTTTTTTTTTTTCTTCACGATTCTCAAAACTTATGAATTATAAAAATACTTCCTGACTTCCAAAGAGACATTCCCTTAACTCAACTGTTGGAATAATAAATTTCATCTAGACTGGAGAGATGGCTCTTTCAGAGGACCTGGGTTTGGTTTCGAGCACCCACATGGTGACTAACAACCATTTGTAACTCCAGTTCCAGGGGATCCAATAACCTCTTCTGGCCTCTTCAGATAATGCACACATAGGTGCACTTACATGCATTCAGGCAAAACACTCATACTCATAAAAATAAATTTAAAAAAAAAACTCTTGACCTAACTTAAAAATCTCATTTGCCTTCATTCACTTACCTCATCACTGGCTTGCTTTTTATTTTGATACACTTCCTTTTCCTCCTGCCTTAGCGACTCCCTTTGCTACTCTTTCTCCCATGGGTTATGTGGATCCTCAGGGCTGAGGAGGTCACATTGTAGGCTTCACTCTTTGACTTTGCTATAGATTCCACTCATGATTCCTGTTGGAATCTCCTTGAATAATCTCCCTTTTTAAAACTAATTTTCCTTTTAGGAAGCACTAGAGAAAAGCCTGGCCTAGAAATGTCTCTTCTGCATCTTTTCAAAGGAAGCTGTAAGAGGTTCTTCATCAGAAAATGTTCCACCAGAAGGTAAAGAAGATGGGATGAACAGAGACGGAGAGGTCATTGAGCAGAAGACTCCATCTGAGGAGGAAGAACTTTCTCTCTTTCTTTTTTTTTTTTTTTTAATATTTTTTTGAGACAGGGTCTCCCTGTAGCTCCAGCTAGCCTGGAACTCACTATGTAAACCAGGCTGGTCTCCAACTCACAGAGATCTGCCTGCCTCTGCCTCCCGAGTGCTGTGCCACCATGTCGGGCATCTCTTCTCATTAAGCTTATAGTAGGTAAGACAGTGCTCAGAGACTTCAGTGGTCACAATTAAGTGCTGCCACTCCACCAATGTTCTATATGTTACTTGTAGAACTTAAAGACCTTGAAATTTCTTTCGAGAGAAGTCTATAAAATTATTACTTAGGGGGCTGGAGAGATGGCTCAGCAGTTAGGAATACTGGTTGTTCTTGCAGAAGACCTGGGTTCGAATCCCAGCACCCACGTGGCAGCTAACAACTGTCCATAACTCCAGTTCCAGAGGTTCCGACAACCTCTTCTGTCTGCCACCATTACACAACATGGGTGCACTTACCTGTATGCAGGCAATACATGCATACACATAAAGATAAAAATTTTTTTTTAAAAATTATTACTGGCTGGGTGTGGTGGCGCACGCCTTTAATCCCAGCACTGGGGAGGCAGAGGCAGGCAGATCTTTGTGAGTTCGAGGCCAGCCTGGTCTACATAGTGAGTTCCAGGACAGCTGGGGCTACAAGGAGACCCTGTCTCAAAAAAGACAAAAAAAAATTATTACTTAGATAAGTTTAATTTTATTCCCAACAGCCACACAGACATTCACTGAGTACAAGATCTTCAGGAGTAATTTAGCTGGAAATCTCGTGAGTGATGCCTCTTTTCTAGATTGACATAGAAATCTGTGAACATCGTAGATGCTTCTCTGGTGAAGGCTGAGCCATCTCAGTGCTTGTGGTAGGATTTATTAGATGCTCCTCCACCTCTGTGACTGTATCCTGGCTGGCAAGATTGCCTGTCTGACTTAAGCTCTTAGCAATAGTCCGTTTTGCATAAAATTAATAATGGTCTCTTAGGCAAAAATAAGCAACACCTTATTTTTTCTTTTTCCAACCTTGAGGGCCACTGATGATGCAAAGCAGGTTGGACTTTATGCATAGCCTCATTTGACAAGGATGTTTTTGTTGTTAAACCAAGGAGGTTTATTTTTGTTATACCATGTTGAGAAAATGTTAGGGTTTTTTTTTTCTCAAATATAAACTTATAATAATGTTTTCTTAAACATGTTTGCACCCTTTTCTCTCTTGTTCCCACTCAATTTCGGTAGACTTCCATCACATATTTCTCCATTGACGATGACCTATGACCTGAATAATATGTCCCATTCCTAATTCCAAAGTGATTCTTTCCTTGATACTATTCTAAAGCCTCTTAGTTCTAAGATTTGAGGACCCTAAGATATCTGCCCTAAGGCATAACCAACAGAAACTGATTCTCTACTTTGTGAAGTATCTTGGTGTTCACTAGCTCTCATTTTCCTATAAGTTAACAGAACTATTTGTGTATTTCCATAAAGTGCATATTCCCAAGAACTTTGGTTTCTTACAAATACACTGTGACTGTGATGCAGGCAATCCCTAGGAAAGAGGCTGTTGGAAATGGAGGCAGGACACTCAACATTTATTGATTGACATATTTTCATCAAATTCTTAATAAAGCAAATTATGTATCATTTAATTAGATTAATTTAGTTCTATAATTGAAATTTTATTGATAAGGATATCAGAACATAAGCAGCTTAAGTCAGTTGCCAACTACTGTGTATTTTGTAAACACAGAATCAGGAATTTAAGTTCAAGACTGTCCCTTTATTTTTTTCATTTATATTTATTTATTTTTTTTTTAATTTTTTTATTTTTATTTATTTATTTTTTTTGAGGCAGGTCTCACTATATAGCTCTGGATGGCCTGTAACTCACTATGCAAACCAGCAGGCCTGTAACTCACTATGCAGACCAGAAGGCCTGGAACACAGGGAGAGCAGAGACCGAGAAAGGGTCCTGTGATTCCTGGGAGGAAAGGACGCACGGATCTTTGGTCAGGGATGAAGATCATTGACTGCTGGTCTCCCAGGAGAGACGTGCCGGGAGCTGGGGCTACACCCTAAGGCTGCCGGTACCTGCAGCTTTCAAAGCAGGGGGCCTGCCCCAGAGGACACTTGTGTACTCCTGGAGCAGGAAACCCTGGTGAGCAACGAATCCGAAGCCATAGTGTGCCGTCCCTGGGCCTTCGCTCTAGGGTGGGCGCAGGACTCTAACCAGGGCTGTCGCGCGCTGAGATCTGCTTATCTGAGGGATCGCTGGGATCCCTGGGGCTTCTGTTGAATTTTAAAGTGCCTTTGGGTTTCGTAGAAATTGATGGAAACCACAGATGAAAGAAGATCAAGTCCCTCAAGCTCCTACTCTGCATCCTATCCCATGTGGTTTCCGTAGTGTAGTGGTTATCACGTTCGCCTCACACGCGAAAGGTCCCCGGTTCGAAACCGGGCGGAAACAGGTTCTTTTTCCTTAAAAAAAAGAAAGAAATTTTCCTATCTTCAATAAGGGGTGGGGAAAAAAAACACTGGTCCAACCTGTGATTATCACACTATCAAAAAGACCTCATCAATTTCTGGGGCTGTGGCTCCGATACCATATAGTCAAAGGATGTTGAGTTCGACCTGTTCTTGGAGTGAACCCCCATATTGGGCCTTTCAGGCGGCTCTGCTCTTCCATTGAAAATTCCCCCAAAACGTGCTCAGAGAGAGTCTGTGTCCACTGTACCCACCAAGGCGAAAGTGAGAGCCAGGGAGCAGCGCAAGTGGTGGTTACAGGCAGCACCGCCGGCGGGTGGATTTTCAAGTGAACTAGCGCCCCGGCAGTCTTTTAGAGGTTCGGGTGGAGAGAGGAGAGTGACCCTGAGTGTGAGGTTAGGAGAAGCTATTGCTATGTCCACGAACGACTCATTCGTACGGACCTGGCAGGGGAGACACGGTGATCAGGAAGGTGGTTCTACCTGGGCGAGGCTCATCCATTGCTTTTGAGGTGTGCTGATCCCTGCGATTTCCCCAAATGCGGGAAACTCGACTGCATAATTTATAGTAATGGAGGACTGCGTTCGCGCTCTCCTTTTACGACAAGTAGGGATGTGTCACCAAACCTTTAATCCCAGCATTCCGAAGCAGACGCAGACGAATCTCTGTGAGTTGGAGACCAGTCTGCATAGGGAGTTCCAGGGGGAGACCGTCTCAAAAAAAAAGAAAGAAAGAAAGAAAGAAAGAAAGAAAGAAAGAAAGAAAGAAAGAAAGAAAGAAAGAAAGAAAGAAATATTTTTATTTTTATACGTTTGCAGTGTAGTTTTTCCTTAAACTCAATCCGATCACTTTTAAGGCCCACTCTGTATGGGGAGCCCTTTTTTTCCCCAAATCATTTCTTCCGGACTTCAGCAAGTTGCCCGGCTGCAACATGGAATGTTTTTCTTCTAAGCCAAGAGGGCGGTGGATTCCAGTTTCCCAGCACACTCTCTCTTCGCTGTCTCACTGAGTGTCCCCTCTTCAAGACCGTCATAATTTCATGCGGTGCAGGCGACGTCCGTGCAGGTTTTTTTCTCCCTTCCACAACCCTTACTCCAAAGGCCCGGGTACTTTTTCCTTCAATACCTGAGTACGCGCCGCCTCTCAAGGTCTGCCTCTTCTCGAGTCTCTGGTGAGAAATCCCAAACTAGAGCGCTGGAGCCGGAGGTTTCTCCTTGGCCAGGCCCCTGGCTGCGTGCTCCCCTCGCCCGGCTCGGATGAAGCGGGAGCTGGAAAAAGGCCAGAGGGGGAGAAGGAGGGCGAAAAACAGAGAGTCCGAGTCACCGGCGGGTTTAGAGATGAGAATTGTGCGGAGTGAAAAAATAAGAAAGACACGAGAGAAAACACGAGGACCTGTAGCTGTCCGAGAATAGAGCGGTTAAAAAAAAAAAAAAAGTCTTAAATTTTGCCAAAAGCCGCCAAAAATGTGTGTGGCTAAGCTGTATGTCTGGGCCGCTTGGCGACTGATGCTCTAGAGATGAGAGTCCTGCGTCCTGCCCACAGCGACCTCGGTGCTAACCTGGTAGTGCTGCGCGGTCTCACACCCACGGAGACTAACTCTCCGGTCTTCGCGTTTGCTTTTAACCCACGCACTCGGTTAGAGAACGGGGTTTGCCTCCGGCCGTTCGGACTAGGACGAAAGCAGCACCGCCCACTGAGAGTGGAGGCGCGGGAGGCCGGGGACCGGCAGCGAAATCCTAGCACCGGGCCAGCGCGATCCACCCACTCATCATCCTCTTCGCTTTATAGTCTGTAAGGTTCTGGAAAAGGTGCGTCCATCTGGTGCAGGTTTGTATTTACTTGCTCCTTGTAGAAATGAGTCAAAGCGATGGTGTTGTGTCTCCGTGGCGCAATCGGTTAGTGCGCTCGGCCGTTAACCGAAAGGTTGGTGGTTCGATCTCATTCGGGGACGTATGGCTTCTGGGGATATTGTAAATGCTAGTTGTTGTTGTACATACACATCAGCGGTTACTTGTGGAAGTTGTGGAAGGGCAATTGTTCAGTAATGATGTTTTGGTTTTTTTTTTTATTTTTGCTCTTATTGAGACAGGGTCTCCCTGTAGCCCCAGCTGTCCTGGAACTCACAGAGCTCACGATGTAGATCAGGCTGGCCTTGAACTCACAGAGATCCGCCTGCGTCTGCCTCCTGTGTACTGGGATTAAAGGCGTGCGCCACAAGCCCGGCGATATTTTACGTTTTTAAAGATATCATTCAAGGGTTGTGTGTGGTGGGGTATACCTTTAATGCCAGCACGCGGGAGGCAGAGGCAGACGCAGACGCAGACAGGCGAATCTCTACGAGATTCAGATCAGTCTGGTCCACATAGCAAGTTCCAGGCCAGCTGGGGTTACAGGGAGACCCTGTCTCAATAAATAAATGAATAAATAAACAAATAAATGTTACCATAGGGACATTATTTCTTAATTAGAGTATGAAAATTTACAAGAGCCAAGTTACTTCAGAAAATCTGTGTGATACTTGAACTTTGTTTTTAGAATTTTTTTGTTGTAGTGTGTGTGTGCTCATATAAATTAAGGATGTGCTCCATCACTGAGTTACATTCTCAGCTCCTTGAACTTTTACAATATATGATTCACAGTTTTGTACAAGCATCACCACTACCTTCACCGATAAATGAATAAGCAAAATGTAGCGTACCCAGACTGTGTTAGTCAGTTTTCTGTTATTGTGACAAAATACCTGTGCTAATCACCCTATCAGTAGGAAAGATTTATTTTAGCTTGTGCTTTCAGTGGTTTTGATCCATAGTTTATTGATTCCATTGCTTTTGGGCCTGTGGTGAGGCAGCATGATGGCAGGGAACACATGGTGGAGCAAAGTTGTTCACCTTGTGCCAGTTGGGAAGCAATTATCCCCTTTTATCCCTTTCATGAGCATGCTCCCAATAACCTGACTTCCTTTCACTAAACCTAACCTCCATAAGGTTTTATTGCTTGGCACTAACATCAGAGACTGGTAACAGAGCCTTTAACATATGGGCCTTTGGTAGACATTTATGATCCAAACCATAACACATACTTAGGAATATTACTCAGCCATAAAAGGAATGAAAAGTTATTAGAATATAAATCTTGAAAATAATATCATAAGTCACACAAAAGGTCACATATTGTATTATTTCATTTATTTGAAATATGCAGTGCAGGCAAATCTATAGAGACAGAAAACAGATTTCAATTGCCAGCAGGTGGGAGGAAGACAGAATGTGAATCAACTGCTTAATGTGAGTGGTTTTGAGACTAACTGGGCCTCCTGACCCTGGAGAGGAGCTGGGTGTGAAGTGGGGGGAGGGGGCATCTCGGACATGTTCCTAGAGCTGGAGGACAGGGCAGAAAGTGTCTAAGTGAGGATACAGCCAACAAACCAGAAAAGGAAAAATGACAGGTCAACCCTACTCCCTGGAGGGCCATAAATTAAATAGAGTGAGTGTTGTTAATAGAGCCCTGAGGTTGGGAGTGTTGCCTTAATTCAGTCATTGGAAGAAAAGAAAACTGTACACAAGCATTCATGCTTGACTGATTGGAAAACATGAATTCCTAACTAGAAATGAGATGTGAGTTAAGAATATATATTTAAAAGTTCAAGCCGGGCATTGTGGCCCATGCCTGTTGTCCCAGCACTTGGGAGGCAGAGGCAGGAGGACCTCTGTAAGTTCAAGGCCAGCCTGGTCTACATAGTGAGTTCCAGGACAGCTGGGGCTACAGGGAGATCCTGCTTCAAAAAGACAAAAAGAAAAAAAAAGTTCAAAGGCTTTGTTCCTTATCAGTTTAGTTTGGTTATTCTAAGCACTGGCAGGATAAGGTTAACCCAGGACTGGAGAGATGGCTCAGCAGTAAAAAGCACTGACTGCTCTTGCAGAGGACCTGGGTTCAATTTCCAGCACCCACATAGCATCCAACAGCCATCTATAAATCTAGTTCCAGGGGATCTGATAACCCTCTTCTGGTCTCTGCAGGAACTGTACAACCCAGGTGCACCTACCTACATGCAGGCATTACACTCAAACATAAAAAAATAAAAATAATAAATAAAATATTTAATATATAATCAAAGAGCCCTAGATAGGATTGGCACACTGAAGGTCTAGAAAGGTTTTAAGAGGAACAGCTGTGCTTTTTTGCAGGCACCTGAGTTTGCTTAAAAGAGGACAACCATCTGTACACATCTGGATCCAGTTATAGGAGATTCTGGGACTCCGGGCTCAGCCCTTTCTGGTCCTAGTCCCTGTCACCCACCCCTCCTCCCAGCAACCCCAACCACTGCCCCAGTTCCTGCCACCATCTTTCCCCAGGCACACTGTAATTTTGAAAAGGAATATCTCCAGATCATTACTGAGTTCTTGGCCATGACACACTAAGTTGCCCTTTCCGGTGGGCCTTTCTAGTGAGGCAGAACTTATGGTGTTTTGTGTGTGAAAAGAAAAAAGTTGGAGAACTTAACTCCCTAGATCATCTCAAGAAAGAGGAGTAATGCCTTGAAGGGTAGAATCACCCAGACACCATCTGAACAGTCTCCACAAGATTTACCCACTTCCTGGTGGCCTAGTGGCTAGGATTTGGCACTTTCACTGCCATGGCCTGGGTTCAGTTCCCGGTTGGGGAAGTGTATTTTATAACTTGGTCATATAGGGAACTGTTCTTTAAAGTCTACAAAGTCAGGTGAACATCTCAGAAAACTGGTTATCTGGAGCTGCCCCCTTAAGGAAGGAATGATCACTCCCTTGAGATAATATACCCCTACCTCTACTAATTACCAGGCCAGCCTCAGCCCCTCTAGATGAGGTTTTTCTCTGCTAAGCCTCCCTCTTTTCTGAATTATAATTCAAAAAGTTTATTTTCCCCCCTTTCTCTCTTTTCCAGATACCAGCTAAAATCCTAGGCATGCTTGCCCTGACACACTGGACTGTTCTTATCTTTGTCTCTGAAAAGTCCCAGCCCCTCCCCATGCATCTGTATCCTCCATCCTGTCTGCTTTCTTGGATCCTAACTCAAAAATCTCTCCTTCCTCCCAGTAGCTGCTTGCCCTGCATAGTTCCTCTATGAAACTTCAATAAAATGGACCTCAATGGCTGGTGAGTGGGGAGAGGGGAAGGTGTGACCCAGGCACATCCTCTGTCTCTCATCTTACTTGGTTGTCAAAAGGAAGAATGTGCTGTTTCTGGTAGTCTCTGTTGATCCCCTGCCCCCCACAGAAACTCTCAGACATAACTACAAATGGAGGAGATGCACTTCAGAGAAAACCATCTGAAGATAAACAAAAAAACAGGCAGATGTGAAAGAAGAGCACTTAGTGAGTGTTCCAGTTTGTGATTTTTTTGGTGGAGCCTGCCCTATTCAGATCAGATAATTTCTCATACAAAATTGAACTGTCCCGAGTATGGCAGGAATAGAGGATAACCACAGCAACGACAAAATCAAGGAACTGGTGAAAATCTTAGAAAGGAAAAAAAAAACCCACCACTGAATAGAAGTTCCAAGTACTGTGAAGAATTCTTCCCAAATTTCTAACGGACCCCCTGAATTGCTTTTGGGGGAGGCAGACTTCATGCAGTCTAGCTAAAGCTAAGTAACTGAAGGGAGATTTGCCCTCCCATCCATTTTAGGAAAGACAGACTTTGTAGTTGATGTCAACCAAGCATACTTAAAAAAAAAAAATTTAAATGTTTTTGCAACACATGCATGTGCTCTTTGTGTTCCATTCACAATACCCACAATACAATGCACTACTACTCTACATAGATTATCCTAATACTGCTGTGTACTTGAGATAAGAAAACTTTGTGAGAATAATGACAGCCTAGTCATTCAGTGTTGGAGCCAAGACTGGGGCTATAGCTCAGTGGTGAGGGCTAGCACACTCAGAGCTGTAAGGCTTGATCTCTGGCATTGCAGCAATAATAAACATTGGAAACGAGACTGGAAAATTTTAGCCATAATTATAACAATGTTCAGAATAATAGAGGAAAGGGGCTGGAAGAGGGTACTCCACTGTAGCTCAGTGGTAGAGTGCTTGCCTAACATCCATGAGGCCCAGGGTTCAATTCTACACACTGAAAGAGAATATTAAAAATATATAACCAAGGGTTGGTGAGATGGATCAGCGAGAAAGAGCACTGGCAGCTCTTGGTTCTCAGCACCCACATGGCAGCTAACAATCATCCATAACTCCAGTTCCAGAGGATCTGATGCCCTTTTCTGACCTTTGCTGGCACTGCACAACATAGGTGCACTTACATACATGCCAGCAATACATTCATACACATAAAATATTTTTAAAATATGTTTGTTTGGTTGGTTGGTTTTTTTGGTTTTTTTGAGACAGGATCTCCCTGCAGCCCCAGCTGGCCTGGAACTTGCTAGGTAGACCAGGCTGGCCTCGAACTCACATCTGCCTGCCTCTGCCTTCCAAGTGCTGGGATTAAAGATGTGCATCACCACACTTGGCTGTAACCATATTAAATTTTAAAATGGAAAATCTTACCAAGAAATAGGAATAATAAAAGGCTAAATGTTGAAACTGGAAAAAATAGTTCTGGAAAAACATTACAATACACTTAACTACATAATGGAAATGGCAGAGAGTTAATAAACTTCAGAGAAATATAAATCACCCCCTCCCCAGGAACACAGAGGAGAAGGGGGATTTTTTTTTTTTTTAATAAACAGTTTCTTTGAACCTATAGGGTAAAATCCAAACTGCCAACATTCAAGATGATGAAGATTGGAAGATATTTAACTACTTCCAGATTAATTGAGAAAGTGCATCTGCCACATTAAGACCCACTGCTAGCTAAAGCCCGTAAAAATATGTCCTGTCTCAGGAGAGGGTATGACTTGCAGACAGCTGCAGAGTTCACATACCGGGAACATACTTCGAGGACCTCCGCCCTTCCCGCGACCCCCCGGTAGGAGCGCCTTCAGCCCTCCCCCCCCCCCAATATGCAAAGGTTGCTGAAGTCAAGTTAGACTATAAAGGCATGCAGGACAACAGGTGTGTATTGTCGGGGGGCCATGTACCCCTGAGACAACAGGGCCGCAGAAGCACCAGGGGACTGCCGGGAAGGGACCGACTCAGCAGAACCATTCTCTGAGAATAACCGAACTCCAGGAAACTGCAGATCAGATGGTTTTCTTGTATCCTCGGACGGTAGCTCATTTCGAATTCAGCATGAAGCTATTTGCTGTCTGGAAAGCTACCAGCTCCCGCCTGTCTCCCAGAGATGAGCGAATGGGCCTGACCAGGAGGCAACTGCCTAGCTCTCCAAGTGCACCGGAGTGTGTGGCCTTTTGTTGGCACAAGACTGACCTGGAGATTCGCCTGTGTAGGAAGGCAGCATGCCGGGAGACAGAGTGGCCGAAGTCTTCTCAGGTCATTGGACCAGGCTGACATTGAGAGGCCTCATTTTACCTTTGCACGGACTTGAACCCAGGATTAAAAGCAAAAACCAATACCTATGAACGCCTATATTTAAACCACAGAAGCCAGGGGGAGAGCGCGAACGCAGTCCCCCAGTACCACAAATTACTCAGTCGAGTTTCCCCCATTTAGGGAAATCGCAGGAGTCAGCACATCCCAAGTGCAATGGATGAGCCGCACCCTGGGAAAACCACCTTCCTGATCATGGTGTTTCCTCTGCCAGGTAAGTATGCCTTTTCTGCCCACAGCCCCGACACACACCCTCTCTCCCTACACTCTCAACACACGGTCACTCGGCTGCGCGCACTCTCGGGCCTCCCTGGCCTCACACGTGCCTCCCGCACCCCCTGCAGCCCACGGCCGCGCTCTCTCTGCCACGCCACGCGAAATCCCTCGAGTTTCAGAAGCGGCTGTGGACGCGGCAGCCCCTGCGTGCCCTCATCTGCATAGGGTACGCCCCTGGTGTGACGTCATGGCCGCGCTATGGCTCCACTATATAACTTTTTAAAAATATTTTATTTATTATTCTTATTTTATGTGTATGAGTGTATTGCCTGCATGTAGGTAAGTGCACCTGTGTCGTGCAATGCCGACAGAAGACAGAAGAGGCTCTGTCGGATTCCCTGGAACTGGAGTTATAGTTGTTAGCTGCCATGTGGGTGCTGGGATTCGAACCCGGGTTCGAAACCGGGTCTTCTGCAAGAACATTCAATGTTCTTAACCGCTGAGCTATCTTTCCAGTCTCAGATAATTTTTTTCATAATTATTAAGTATAACAAAAGTGTGCAGACTTGTGTCAGGTTTTTTAAAATATTTTATTCATTTTCATTTTATGTGTATGATTGTATTGCCTGAATGTGTGTCAGTGCTCCTTTTCGTGCAATGCTCGTCGCGTCAGGTTTCTTGTACTTGAAAATGTAATATGCATTCACAAAACAAGTATTAAAGAATAACAAAATTTAAACGGAATTTGTAAAACATGTACTTACATAAAGGACTCAGTTTTTGTTCTTAGCAGCTTGGTATTAGTCCTCAAGCAACTCCAAAAACCGTTAGAGGTGAATGGAGCTGGTGTGGTGGCACAAGCCTTTAATCCTAGCACTCTGGAGGCAGAGGCAGGCAGATCTCTGTGAGCTCCGTAGAGGCCAGCCTAGTCTATAGCGCGAGTTCCAGGAGAGTTTGGGCTACGGGGAGACTCTTGTCTCAAAGCAAAACAAAACAACAAAAAGAAGTGAATGCAGTGACATATTCCTCCAGTGGGACATTAACTATTTTGTAATAAAGTGGAACAGAAAAAAGAACATTTAGATCTCAGAAGTGTCATGAAAAGGCTACATACTGAGGCAGGAGTTAACTCTCCCTAGGCAGTGAGGGCAAGGGTCAGTGGTGAACTACAAGCTTACAAGCTGATCATGTAACCAGGGAACAGAGAGAGCATAGTTGAACAAAGACAGCATAATTTAACAGCCGGACAAACAAGCTGAGGTCAGCAACTAGCATAATGAGCCAAAGCCAACAGCTAACCAAACAAGTCAAAAATGGACACAGGGGAGCTTCAGCATGAAACCACCCTAACTGGATGATCATCTCCCCATTTGGGGCAGGGGGACAGGCAGAGACTGTGTGGACCCCAAACTGGCTTGGCCCATGATCAGCCCCAAAAACCAATCTCAATAAAATTACCTAAGTCTTTGGCCTGTCCTGACCATAAATATAACAAAATCTCTAAACAAGATACCCCATGACAGCCAGCTTGGGGACCCATTTGGCTAAAGGAGTCTTAGTCCTCCTCCTGCTCCTTTCTAAATTTGCTTGTGATTGCTCAGTTCATGGTCATTTCTTTTCTTTTTCTTTTTTCTTTTTTTTTTTTTCAATGGTCTTTTTTAGACAGGATCTCAATGTTAGCCACAGCTGGCCTGGAACTCACTATGGAGGAGACCAGGCTGGCCTTAATCTTACAAAGATCTTCCTCCTCTGCCTCTGCCTCTGCCTCCTGAGTGCTGGGATTAAAGGCATGCACCACAATGCCTGGCAATAACAACATTTTTTGGAGGGGGTCTTTTTGAGACAGAGTCTCCCTGTAGCCCCAATTGGCCTGGAACTCACTATGTAGACCAGGCTGGCCTCAGACTCACAGAGATCCTCCTGCCTCTGTCTCCCAAGTGCAGGGATTAAAGGCCTGTGCTACCACACCCAGCCTGATTCTGAATCTTTTTCTTCAAAACTATGCAATATGAAATTGAATATAGTGGGGCTGGAGAGATGGCTCAGCAGAGGACCCAGATTCCATGCCCAGTACCCATATGGTGACTAACAATCATCTGTAACTCCAGGTCCAGGGGATCCAACGCCCTCTTTTCACCTCCTTGGGCACTGCATGACAGGAGTACACTTACACACATGCAGGCAATACACTCATACATATAAAAAACATAAAATAGGGGGCTTCACCGCTCTTGCAGAGGACTGGGGTTCAATTCCCAGCACCCACATGGTGGCTACAAACCATCCTTAGCTCCAGTTCCAGGGGAATCCAAAGCCCTCTTCTGACCTCTGCAGCATTGCACAACATGGGTGCACCCACATACATGCAGGCAATACACTCATACATATAAAATAAAAATAATAAAATATTTTTTAAAAAACATAAAATAAAACAAAAAGAAATTGGATTTCTTAAAATAAAAATACAGCCTATAAGCTTCCAGTTTGATGAAAAAGTATATCCTTATATTTGTAGATATACCAGGAAAAATGAATTCATTAATATTTACCTAATGTTAATAAAAAAATTTTAGGCTCTTGCAGCTTTTATTTATTTCTAATCTTCATTGTTTGAATTGTGTTTAATAAGTGCACCATGTACTTGAAAGATGAGAATGACAATATTAGAAAAATTTCTCTAGAGGAACAGAGCTTTGTGAGTTTAGCCAGCTGTGGTGGCTCATGCGTATAATCCCAGCTTTAGAGAGATGGAGGCAGGAGTATCAGGAGTTCAAGGCTAGCCTCATCTATCTAGTGAGGCAGGCCATGTCTCAAAACTGGAGCAGCAGATTGAAGTGGGGACAATTTGAATTGGTTTAATAAAATTGTAGGGGTAGGGTAATCAAACAATGGTCTTCTGCTCACTGGAGCAGCAGAGAGCCAGGTTCAGGTTCTCATTAGTGGAAGTGGCACACCCCAACCCCCAGCAGTCCCAATCTACTCTGAAAACCTGGAACTCCCTGTGGAGCTGCTGGTAGTGATTCTGCATGGACAGGTCAAAGAAGTCAGAGTCTGAGCATGTGGGTGGCAGCAGTGATAGACACACTCAGCAAAGAAAAGGCATGCAAACTGGGCAAGCTGCCTTGTGGCAACTTCCCTTTATCACCTAAGCAGTCCACCCATTGAAGATGTCCTCAGCATGCAGAGTGGGTTTTTCCACCCTGGCCTTTGTCCCACATGTCAATCCTCTCTAGAAATGAGCCCTACCCACCCACCCTGAGCTGCATTTCCCCAGTTCTAGGCATCTAATAAGCCAGTGAAACTGATGAGAACAGGAGGTAGAAATTGCTTAGGCAGTTTAGGGTAAAACGACCCCAAAAGAATAGTGAACCAGTTAATTTCTTAGCTAAGAGCTGGAGATGTCCTTAGGCCTGCCAGTATACTTGTCTTTGCTGAAGGTCAGAGATGCCAAAACTACCTAAGCCAAAGATGTCTCCAGTTTCTGAATACCCAGAGGCTGAGAATGTCAGGAAGAGGGTCTAGTCTCTTTTCCCTGAAGGAGTACCCTGTTCCTGGAAATCATACAGACAAAGTGACCAGAACCTCGAGGGACCTGAACACCAAGCATAGGAACTAGACTGATCAGCTCTTCCCACCCCTGCCTCTTCCCTCCACTAAAGCAATGAAGCTCAGTGGAATTCCATTCCTAGGGACCCCTCCTATAAAAGAGCTCTGCTTTCTTTCTCTCATTAGCTTCTTATAATAAAATATTTCTAAAACCCTCTGTGGCCCATGATTTTTGTTCTTCAAATTTGTGAGGTAAAAACTTGAAAGCCTCTGGCTTGAGGTTGCTTTGATGGCTGTTGGGGTTCTGGAACCTGAGAAAGGGTCTGTTGCTCTCAAAGACACCTGGATATTCATGTATCAAAATTGACAACCACAACAGATCGTCACAATGGCTTATAGATTGCAGCTGAGGGGCTGGAGAGATGGTTCAGTGGTTAAGAGCATTGGTTGTTCTTGCAGAGAACCCAAGTTAGATTCCCAGCACCCACATGGCAGCTAACAACCATCTGAAACTCCAGTTCCCGGGGATTTGACACCCTCTTCTGATCTCCTCAGGCACTGTACAGCACAAGTGCGCTTACATGCAGGCAATACACTCATACACATAAATCATAAAAATAATAAAATATTTTTAAAAATATATTGCAGGGGATATGAGTGTTCTTTCTGTATTTTTCAAAAATTCAAATTAAAAAAAAAGTAGCCCAGGATATGGAATGGATGTGGAGAAAAGTGAGAGGAAAATCTGAGGAGAGAGAACAGCTCTGGAAAGAATTTTCCTTGAAATGGAAATTTGGGAAAAGCGTTGTTGGGATGAGGGAGGCAGGTGGATCATGAGGATATTTGAGAGTTTTCTACCTGTCATTTGGTTCCTCCCTGGGTTTGTTTTTTGTTTTTGCTTATGAGACAAGGTCTCCCTGTACATAGCTCCAGCTGGCCTGGAAGTCACTATATAGACCAGCCTGACCTTGAACTCACAGAGATCTGCCTGCCTCTGCCTCCTGATTGCTAGGATTAAAGGCATGCACCACCATGCCCGGCGTTCTGTGCGCGCGCGCGTGCGTGCGTGCGTGCGTGCGTGCGTGCGTGCGTGTGTGTATGTGTTTAAAGAAATGAGAATTTCCCAGGGGTCTCACGGAGGGAGAAGGAAAAGGCCCTAATCAGAGAGGAAACTTGTCTCCGGAAGAGTTTTCACACAGTTATAACAACTTGTCAGGCCACCTAAAAGGATGAGACAGGCGGGAACACACCTAGACCGCGAATGCTTAGACGTGCATAGCCCTGGCCCTCTAAACTTTTTCCCTTCAGATGTCTACGGGATTCAGTGTATCTCTTTGCCCTTCTTCCCTATGTGGCCACATTGAATAAATCGTTTTCTGCTTTCCATTATTGATTTGGCTACTGACGGAGGGGCCTAATCTACCTTGGGGCACAGGCTGTGACCACCGTCCCCCCAAGTT